AAGAGTGCTGAGAAATCCCGCTTTTTGGCAGACGCCAAAGCGCGCCGACTCGCGCGCATGGCCCTAGCAAAAGAAAGTACATGTTGGCATGTTGCCATCAGACGGGGCTCCCCAAGCTGGAGGCATTAGGTCAAATCATCGGCAACCGCGATCTGCACTCACATGAGTCCAAGAAATTCACCACATCAGCGATGCCACTGTGATGTCACATCACCATGCCATCATCCCCAAAACAAGCTTCGATGTCCCCGAAATCCTACCCCTGAGTTGTCACTTCAACGGGGCTATCTGACTTCAAGTCCATGAAACGCCAGTGCACAATGATGCTATGCCATGGTTGCCTGCACGGAGCTAGAGCCATCAGCTGCTTCACCATCAAAAACAACCTCAGCCGCTTCCACAAGGCCAGAACTGTCCTAAATTCCAGTGTACTGCGACAAAGTTAGGTCCTGGAAACGACCACAAATGCTACGCAGCAGCAGGAAGCCCGGAATGACAATGCTGTAGAAGGCGGCGCAGATTGGCCCGAGTAAGTCGGCCTTCACCAGGGCAGACCCCTGTTGCGAAACTCACAAACCCCTATTTTGTGTCACTGGTCTGAAAACAGTCAAGATCCGGCCCAGGCGGAGAGGCCATCAAAAAAAGAAGATCAAACAACTTCCTGCTGAAGATCAAATTTTCCATCTTTTTCCAGCTCAATAAAGAGTCTAGATCAAACTTAACTTATTATCTTAGAATGCGGACCTGTCACCTGTCCTCGGTTTTCGACTGTTCCGGCCATCAAAAATTTTTCCGAGCCCCCAAAAAGCGTTCCTTTGTGAAATTCAGAACCGTCACAAGGATTGTTGGGGTCGGGGTCGCGATCCTCCTAATTGTTATCGCTTTTCGACCCTCAGAACAACCTTTTTTTTTAATCGTCCACAGTTACAGGGAGCGTGGGGGTCGGGGTCGCGATCCTCATGGCTGTCGCAGCTTATTGTAGACCCTCGCATCCTCTTTGGATTTAGAAATGTTATCAGTCACAGGGATCGTGGGGGTTGGGCTCGCGATCCTCGTAACTGTCGTCGCTTTTAGACCCTTGGATCCTCTTGGATGCCGAAAACTGTCAACAGTCACAGAGATTGAAGGGGTCGGGCTCGCGCTCCCCGTAACTGTCGTTGCTGTTGGACCTGCGGATCCTCTCCAAATTTAAAGCGCCAACCGTCGCAAGGATTCCGGGGGTCCGGCTCACGATCCCCGCAGCGGTCGTCGCTGTTGCACCTTCTGATCCCCGTGGATTAATTCACGGTGGACAATCACGGGCACTGTAATTTGCAGCATTTTGTCTCATGGGAGTTGTTCATCTAGAGCTTGCAGATACTGGAAATTGTAGCATTGGGAGCTCATCTAGTAATTGCCGCTCTTCAGAGCTCGCAGATACTGTAAATTGCAGCACGCCAGCTCTGGATTTTGTTGAGTTTGCCTATGCATGTTGTAAATTACAGGAGCCTGGCAACGCACGGAGACACTGCGAGTTGCAGCAGTTAGTTAGAGAGAATTTCATTTGCGCATTCGGGTGGCACAAACAAAAGTGCAATCATATTGATGACGCGATGCTTGTCATGTCTTGCAAGCAGGGATGGCCTTACAGGGTTCCGGGGGGCCGCAGTCCCCTCCCCATTTGCAAACAAAAGGATCCGATCAGCCTTCCCCTAGTGCAAACATGGTGATGACTTTTTTTATTCATCGGAAGCATGGGTGGTTTTAAGCTATCGGGGGGGGGGTTTGGGGGGCCGCACCCCCCCCAATCTGCAAACAAAATGATCCGCACAACCTTCCGGCTCCCCTGCCGCAAACAAGAGCAGAAATCAGCAGAAACTTGGCCGCTCTCGACATACAACATGTGACAACAAAGGCTTGGCTTCGGAAAGCACTTGCCTGAAGGGAGCTCATGCTGAGCACGCTGTGAACCATTCTAGCTACCTTGAGCCTTTTGTCAATAGGTGATGTTGAGGAGTGATTTCAGTAGTAGCCAAGGATGCAACTTACACCACACCCAACTGCTCTGGAGTAATGTACTCGCAAAGCCGGCGCTGTGAGAACGCATGCAGACGCGACGCCAATTAGCCTCTTGAAGCTAAGGTTTCCTTTTCCAGGCCCTGATAAATCAGCTTTGGTCCTTGAAGCTCCGCTTAGATTCCAAAAAGGCAAGAGATCTGCCAAAAGTGTCCGCATGGACAACCGCAGCGCAGCTACTGCGAGCATGTCATTGGGATCCAGATCTCCTTCCTTCTTTCCTTTCCTCCCTCCATCCTTCCTTGCTTCCTTCCTTCCCTCCTTCCCTCTTTCCTTCCTTTCTTTCTTCCCTCCTTCCTCTGCCTTACACTGTAACTGCAGCTTCACGGGCGACTAGATGGGTGGAGTTTACGCGCGAGTTTACGTGCGGCGTTTCGTGCGGAGGTTATGGGCGGCGTTCGCGGGCAGACTTTACAGGCGCTGTCATGCACGGGATTGGTGGGGAACCTTTCGTCTTGGGCGGTTTGGAGGGTGTCGGTAGAAGACACCTGTAAAACTGGTTTTGGGGTGTCAAAATGCGAGGTCCGAAGATGTCCTAATATAGCGTGCGCTCAAGAAAAATGCTACACACAACACAGACAAAATACGGGCGTGCATGCTTTGCAGGCATGATGTAGCTGACAATTTTCCGGATCAAAAACATTCCGCTTTGAAACATAATGAAATATACACACAGAAGGCCATGAGGTGGGAAGGAACCGCTCCACGAGACCTCCGTAAACAGTTAGTTCAGAAGCTTTGCGCGTGATATGCCGAAAACCTGGATGAAAACGCTTTCCTCTCTACTGTACGGATTTTAGGGCTCCAGTTTAAGGGCACCTTTAAGGGCAGGTTGCGCGCGACGCAAAAGTTGAACACTTTTAGGAAAGCGACTTTCTTCCAGACGCATGCGAGAATCAATCCAAGTAGAAACAGAGGCTCAGCTAAACACCGCCTCTGCTCAGTAAGCACAGTGCTGGACAAACCCCTCTACGTGTGGAGAGCGCTCACGAAAGAGCCGCTCTTGCAGCCAACACCGGCAAAGTCGGAAGATCTTGCTGATGGTCGGCTTTGCTGGCGGAAACATCAGTCGTTTTCAATCTGTAGACAAAGCTTGTCGGGCAAAACTCAGATGACAAAACGAGAAGCCTGGAAAAAACAACAAAACATCAGCGTTAAGGGTCCTTGAAGGGCTCTACAGGCTACGAGTACATAAAAATTTGATCTTCCTTCATTCTTTCCCACACTCTTGCCTTCTGTCTATATTTCAAGCCGAAAGTTTTTTCGATCCGGAAAAATGTTGATCCGGAACTTTTGTTTTGATCCAGAAAGAGTCCCCGTCAACCTCGGATGAGTTGCGACAAATCTTAATTTCCAATCTCCACAAAAGAAATATATGTTTCCTGTTACAACATGTCACGAGCAACCAACACGAAACGATAAGGGACAGGCGAAATCTACGAAACCTGCAAAGTATGTCATAGAATACTGCGGGATCAGCAATAAAGCACGCCCACTTTGCAGTTCATCGTTGCGTATACCCTTAATTTGGATGATAATCATTTATGATTAACTTCTGACGATTTCATACCTACCATGATACCACATTGAGGGTGGATTTTTGGGGCAAAACTTGATGGCTGATGGATACCACAGGTGAACCGCCATCAACCACACCTGGCCCCAGAACAGCGACGGAACCGCAATTGACCAACCAGGTGACACCTCAGATGAGGCTCAAGGTTGAGACGCCCACAAGGTCTTGCAATTTGAAATTGGAAACATGTTGGGAACCTCGAAGCCAAACACCTTCTCTAGGTCATGTCTTATATATCATATGCACGGTAATGTGTAACGATATGTCTTGATGTGCATGCTCATGCATACTCTCCACAAGTCTTATAAATACACAGCTCATGTCGCAGAAATCTTATGTTAACGTCTGTTATACTGATGTCGTCCACCTCATATGCAAGAAACATAGAACTAGATATGTGGTGCTCGTCCAATGCGACAAGTTCAACTTGTTTTTCAAGAGATGTGATCGGAACGGCAAACATCTGCGTCATCAACGGCCTTTTTTCATCCATGCTCACGCTCTAGCTGCCAGTTTTCGCAAATTAACTTCATGTCATTCACCGGCCCGGAGCAGTAGCATCATTTTGTCTTTGGCCGTCACATTTTTTCTGCATCCCCAGGCTGCATCAGCTTCTGCAGTGTCACCGTCTGAGTCCTTCAGGACCGAAAGCCAAGAAGCATCACCCAGGACCGTCAGGCAGCTAGGCCAGGTGTAGAATTCATGGTGGTTCTCGAGTCCCAACAAGTTTACCAACGGCACCAAACCCGACTGTAACTAATGCACCTGCCCTCCCCCCCCATGGGACTGGCCCGAGCGTGAACTACCTCACAAAGTGCACAGTAGACAGGCGAGCGGGCGTCTCTGTCCTTTTCCACTTCTACGCGCACTCGAGTATCAACTCCCTAGAACCTTGAGAGCGGCAACAGCAACATGCAATGCAGTTGTGTCACATGAACTGTACATGGACTAATAACAAAGCAACAGGACTGATGTTGTTTCAATCAGGCACAAATTTACTTTCATGTTACATAACTGTCCCATTGGTCGGCTATCTAGCTCTCGGTGTGAAACAGACATATCTACTGAAAGGCTAACCTACGGCTGGCAAATGCAAAGCCCTTACCATCTCGTTGAAGATGCCTAAGGCACACAGAGACGTTGCTTGGAGCTACCGAGACGTGGGCCTCGCCTACCCTTGATGTTGCAGGTGTGCAGTACACTCTGGGAATTATTCCTTTCAGGAATATCCTCAAGGACAGTACCTAACACCTCGAACCTAACCGGGGGTATAGCTTCTAAGCTTAGTGCTCCTGCTGGGCACCTTACGCCCTATCTTTTGCACACAGCTGCGCTAGAAAGCGAAAGTTATAAGTTCCTGCAACCGCAAGGAAAGAAAACAAGTGGGCCCCCACACATCAATGAAGCCCCCGTCCCAGGAAGTGAGATGGCCAGCCGCCCTTCCTAGACGAAAGCTTCAACGATGTGCCCGAACCAGCATCGGGCCACCAACACTCATCCTGACCGGGCCCTCCTGACAGACCCTATGGCCATGCCTCTGCATATCCGGCCAGCCTCCGTTCCACCCTTCCCTGTTCAGGGCCTGTGCCCGAGGATTTCGTAGCCGCTCAAGCAGGAAGGGTAGGATGAGCAACAAGGGGCGGCAGTGGGAGGGTTTAAAAGAAATTTTGCCAGGAGGGACGTGCTCGTACGGCCGATGCCTTGATAACTCGAAGCTGAGCAAGAGGCAACTGCAACTCAGTCAGCTGAGCAACGCCTTGAGAGATATAGATTTTTGCTGTCTTTTGAGAATTCCAGCGCCCCTTGAGGCAGATCTGGGCAAGGTTGCCAGTTTGTCGAAAGAAGTGAGTGGCACCCCCCCGACGGACACTGTACCAGCGATACGGAGCCCGCAAGCGCAAGTTCTCAGTGAGTTGTATAAACGCTTGCGTTGCACCTGAGGAGAAACCTTTGTAAGAAGATCACCAGGAGCTTTGCGGCGGAGGTAATTTTGCAGGAGCTTACAGACGAAAGGATCATCCAGCAGAATAGATTCTGTCATGCCTGTGCGTTGACCAGATTTGCTGAGGGGCAAAGTCCATGTGCCTGCTGTTCCAAACTAAACAAAATCCTTACATTGAGCGCTGAAGAGCTCCCCACTCCGTCCAAACGTATGGAAACCCAGTAATGTTGGACCTCCTTTAGCC